TGGGAGCATCTTGAACCGGTGGCGAGACAGTGCTACCAGTGGAGAGAGCAGTATGAGTACTGGATTCATCACCGTTAGCCATGAGGCAGAGATGGCGAGAGAACTAAAAAAAACAGAACGGCTGACAAGCACAAAGCCGGAAAAGCAACGATCAAAAAACGGTGGCTGATGACAGAAATCCTGATACCATGACAGAAACTAAATGGTCGGCATAAAACATGATACTGTATTGATCGGCTCACAAAGGAGCAATATGTACACATATACATCATATTAGGGTTTATAGAGGAAATCCTAGAGCGTATAAAATGACGGAAGTAACCCTATACAAATATAGGTACATACATATATCGTAACATAATTTAGTATGTACGCAAGAAATCAAAGAGTACCTTATTAAGACTAGTTTTGTAGAATATTTTATTAAGACTAGTGGCGTGACCAATCTAATTATTATTTAGTCAAAAAAATATTTTAATTAAAACAATTTGATATGATAGTTCAAATTTTCCTTATACTTAAATAAAAGGCACAGTAAGCAAGAAATAATGCCTAAGAAATACTCAAGAACTACCGTCGAATCGATCTCGACCGTCGGATGGGATAGATATGACGTTAGCAACTTATTAGCATTAAAATCGGAATTTCATAAATTCAGCATATCCTAATAAAAAAAAACCAATAAGCCTTTGAGGAAAAAAACCCCCAAACAAGAAAACGACGTCGTCCTTTCTCCCTACGATTTTTCCCCCCAAAAAAAAGAAAATGTAATCATCACCACCAACACTTCCTCATTAATCAACCTCCTCCACCATCATCACCGATTATTGATTAGAAAATTTCCCATGCTATGTCATATTCCCCCTACAACTATAATTCGTATGCCCTTAGAACTACGAAATCTGTTTTCCCTAATAATTACAATGCTTACATTGGATTGTATCCATTTTTCTCAATTCGGGGTTGTTCTCTTCGCCGTTCGGTGGAGGAGATACAATCTGAAGGCTTTTCGTTACCTTTTTCAATCCTACCCGCTTTCAATATGATATTTCCACTGTCCTTGATGGAGGTCTTCTCAAGCGGAATAAAAGTAGTAAATAGAGGTGATCGGTATAAACTGACAAGTTTCGGAGGCTTAGGAGATACTGACTTTGTTTATGGGCACTGAGGACCACACTTCTAAGGTATCTGATAGAAAGATTAAATTTTAACTCGTTGAATATTAGTTTCCTGTAGCTTGTTGAATTTGGGATAACTGTTCCTTCTGCATGATGTTTTGTGTTGTAACCGTGTGGGTTATTTTGTGATCGATGTAGAAGGATAGATAAGCGCTTTACTTGTCTGAGTTTTTTTGGTTTATTGTGACATGATCTCTGATGATATTCACCTCCCCAGCTCCTGCCCGATTCCTCCTTCCTCTCAAATTTGTATTCAATCTCCGTTATTTACTTCTCTCTTGTAATCCCTCTTGGACAAATTTAAACATTCTGCTGAATTACGAACCTTGGATTGACTTTGATATGTCCGATTAGCTCGCTTTAAAGGTGAGTTTTATCAAACTTATGTGCATTTATTCTTCCCTAGAATATTGAATTTTGATTTTCTGGTGTCTGCCAGCAGTGGCTGGTTCTAAATAGCTCTGTTATTAGAGTTTCCATGTGGGTTTTTGAAGGGTAGTAAAAAGTTTGGATTAGTTCTCTATAATTTTCGTTTACTGTAAGGGGTTTTCCTTGATTTGAGAATTTAAGTAAGATGGTTGGATTTATGCTGGAACCGAAAGCAGGTTGCCTTTGCTTCCTTTTGAGTTGGATTAGTCCTGCTAATTCGACCGTGTTTATTATTCTACCTTCAATTATGTATATCTCGTACGTTAGAGCACCTGATGTTAATCTAGCTGCTGGTGTTAGATCTTGAAACCTGATTACTACCATTTTCTCTCCTTATATATTTTCCTTCTTTTATTTTCAGTCAAGACAAAAAACTGTCAGCGTGGAGGCTATGCTTGATGTTCTGCAACACTCGAAGGAGGGCAAGCTACAAGGTTGATGCTGGTGTTTTCAGTCTTGAATGCATTCTATTTGTCCGTCTTTAAAAATTTTTCATTTTAATTTAAATATTAAATTTCTGAAATCTATCTGGTTTTACGTTTGAAATTTATATCATTAAGCCCTGCTAAATGATTGCAATATGTTTTGACACTAATGTTATTGTTAATATGTTCTGATGTTCTATATTATTTAAAAGAATATATTAAGAAACTGGTTTTTTTGCAAGTTTATTTTGATTTCCTTGATGCATTCCTTTTATAATATCATTGGACTTGGACTGAATTGGTTTTGAAACCTGAGGTTCAACCATGCATTCCTCTTTTGAGAAACAACATTGTTTGGTCATGGGGTATCTGATGCACCATGCAAGCGTCTAAACATGTAGACATTGCACATAATTAGGTTATGGTTAAACTTATTCCTATTCAAACATGGGCTGGATATACTATCAAGTTTCTTTTAGATTGTGGCTCAGTGTTCCTATTGTAAGGCCCCTTATTCCAGTTAAATGCATTCCATAGAACCTTTAAAGATTGTGTTGATCTATGTTACTTACGCATGTGTGTAATTTGACCAAGTTATTTGCTTGCAAATCTCATATATAGATACACATTAAGTATTGGACAACATACTAGATATGTAATGTTTAAGTGGGAAACAGAGATGTCTTTGCTTTCAGTGTTCTATCATATGTAGCTGAAGAAAGTTTCTCAATCTAAACGGGATTTGACGTGTAATTACAATGCTTATGTTGACAGGAAAGAAAGCTGAACGAACAAGATGAAGCTCTTATAAAATCCATATTTAAGGTAAGTCTTATATTTTCCAACTTATCCTTTGTCCATTGGTTTCAATTTATTCTGTTTTCTTGAGGTAAAATTTTTTTTTATCTGATTCAAACATTTTGATCTCAGCGATCAAGTGAAGGAATATACGAAGGATTAATGACGAAGACCTAGATGACGATGATGATGAAGAATTAGCATTTGGCATTCCTTCCAAGGGGTCTGATTAAAAAAAGTATTATGTTATTTTCTTGTCTTTTTACCTTTTAACTTGTAGTTGCGAGAAGTAACATTAATTCTGTGTGTTTAACTAAAGGCGAAAGGGTTGTGGAAAATTTTTTAAAGGGTTGTGAAGGTATATCAATTCATCATACCTTTTTCTTTTTCTTTTTTTTTTTTGGCAGAAATTCATCATACATTTTCAAGTTGTATAGGGTCTGATATTTAGCATTTCTCCTATTCCAGTTCTTTCTATTGTTCTTACAAGGTTTCTTGCACTCCTCTACTAAATTAAAATTCAATCATGCATCAATGAATTGATCATTTTTCTTCATTTGCAGCTTTCCCATCTTTAATGATGATGGGAAGGATGGGAACGGCTTAGCTGCTGTTACAGCTACATCATTTGTCGGATTTGGTTTGAATTTGGTGTGGATTCTAATTTGGATCCGAACTTCTCTCGCTCTTCGAGTTACAATAGAAGAGTTTGGCCAGGCAGGGTGCTGGTGCAAAAAAGGCTGCAGAATAGGCTGCGACAAAGCTGGTGCTCCCCAAAATGAAAATACAATAATTGATCTGAAAAAAAAACGACTGATCAAACGGTATGTGTGTGAATACTGCATCTCAAGGTCTTTTTGAAATTTATTTTTTCCTTCTGTTTATTACTTATTTCCAAAAATAAAAGCCTCATTTTGTGAATATGTATTACCCTAATTTTGAGCCAATGAAGTATTTGGATGAAGCCTTAGCTTCAAAATTGAGGACTCTGCCTAGATAACATGTTTCTTTGGTTCATGAATTTGGCTAGCTTAGGAGTTTCAAATTAGGCACATATCAAATATGAGTCCTATTAGATGTTCTCCAAACTGGTTGATGAAGCGTGCAACATTAGTATTAACATTCTCTGTCTGCAACTTTAAAACATAGCTGTAAAAAGTATCATGGAGTACTATGAAATGTCTTTTTAAACTACTTTACGAAGCTGAAAAAAGCATTTTAAATTTATTTAGATTCACTTGATATACGGTGTATTTGATATTGTGTATTAGGCTACATAGGCTCCCTTTTGAACACTTTGATGACTGAATTTGCTTCACTATAGCTTGAGAGTAATTTCTAGAATAGAAAGTCTAAACTTACATATTTATTTGTTATGTAGCAGTGTTATTGTGGGAAAATGTTAATATATATAAGCATTTTAACACAACTTACTTCTTAATAAACTAAAAAAATGACTTCTTAGATGATCAGATGATGATGGCTTAGGAGCATAATTATATAACGCATAAACGTAGTACATATGTAGCTCTTAGGCCTTTTCTTAAAGGTCAAGATGGAAACATTAAAGCTGCTTTAAGTCTCCTGTTCTCTAAATGGATTTATTTTTTTGTTGTAATTAAGTTGGTAGGCTGGTTCATCTATTCATAAGTATGATCCTGGCATCAATTTTTGTGTACATTGAACCTTTTGAAGATCTCCTTCATGGCCAACGAGATTGATTTGACCAAATGGAAGGGAGGCATACTCAGGGTAGGTGTTAACATAGAGAAATATAAGGATGGGAATGAATTACAAAATTCAATTTTGCATTTTTTTTTTCAAGAACTATTAAACGTAGCACAAAATGTATAACTTAAATTAGCTATAATATTTTCAAACACAAAAAGTAAAAGAATTAACCGAAACACTGGTCGCGCGACAGGTAAAAGAGTAGTTTAATTAAAACAATTTGATATGATGTGGTATAGTTTGAAGTATATTATGTTCAAGTTTTTTAAATGAAAGGGGTAAACACCTAAATTGTTATGATTCGGAGACTATATTAGCTGGACGCAATCTTCTTTAGTTTCCAGAGGTACCCAAAAACATATTATTTATCTGTTGAAATATAAGAGTGAAAGATCACCAAAATTCATGGATAATACTCCCTCCGTCCAAGGATTACTGTCTAAGGCAGTGATGGCTGGATTTCTGAAAAACCATTGTATAAAAACCCATATTTTGGCATGCTCAGATCAATGGTGGAGAAGTCGACGTTTATTACAAAACGAAATAAAATAATCTTAAGCCATTCAACCGTATCAAAGCTACATTTCAAAACCAAGCAAATCATCTTCTTCCCAGCAACAGCAGCCTCAGTATTTGCGGCAATTGAGACCTGCAGTTCACACAAAACTATCATAAAAACTCAGTATTTATGAAAATTTTAAAACTCAAGAAATAGATTAGCAATACATTAAATAAATTACCAATAGAAAAACTCCAAAGCTTGACCTCTTGAATGCTTCTCCATTGGCTCATTTGCCAAGGCCGCAATAGCAGAGTCAGTAACATCACCATGCAATCCATCTATTTCTGCGCTTCAGCTACAAGAAGCTTGTTGTGAAGAGGTTCCTATAGAAAAGGACTGAACATCCTCCTATTTGTCTATGTCCTCCCTTTGATCCCAATTCCTTGTTGCCACCAAGAATCGTAATACCCAGCAACAATGTGAGCCTCATAGCAGAATTAAGCAAATTCGAAGCATTAGCGTAAGTTCAAGAATCTGAACCTTACGGCTAAAAAATGCCCTGCTGGATCCAAACTCTAAATCAGTACCCAAACCCATAGCAACTAAAAAGTGTAAGAGCAAATATTACATATATATAACCTAATCCATACAGCCTCATATAAGCATGTTTTTTAATACAAGTGAAGTTCTCTTCCAATAGTAAGAAGAGTATAAAACTGGGAAATCCATAAACATCAAGGACAAAGCACAAATTTTGAGATTGCTCTACCTCGAGTTCTTTCTCCAAGGATAGTCGCTGCACCAACGAGGAGAGCATTTGCAAGCTATATTTAATTTCCTGTCAAGCAAGAATCACCAAAGTAATATTATGAACGTATAAACCATATGCTTGCAATCGTCCTATCTCTCTCCCTACCATTCTTGAGTAACTACAAATAACATAATAATTAGTTCAAACAGCAGAAGCAAATGACAATCCCAAAGAACAAAGAACTGTCCCAAGTAATATATGTAAGGAGGACGGGAAAAGGATCAGCTATCTCAAGAATCCCAACCTCCTCCAGCCTCTTTTGTTCAGCCTCTACTTCTGAAACAATTTTGCACCTGAAAATAAAGAATCATAAACTTCTAACAAGCATTTCATACAATTTTCCTCAACAGCATATTTGCACTCTGTAACAGGGTTTTGCAATGAAATACCACTATTCTGTCAAGGATAGCAAAATGGATAAAATACTTTACCCCCAACTGTGAGCTATGTCCCCCGCAATGGATCCACCAGTAAGGCTGAACTTGAGTTAGGTGGGAAGAGACTGTTTAAAAGAATCACAAGCAAGTTAAGTTATGGCGAGGTGAGCAAACCAGGAAGATCAGTTTTTAGGGGTTTCGGGTGTCACCTAAAGAAGCACATAGTATTCAATTTCCATTCAACCAACAACAAAAGCTTCACTACCCGAAAAGAACATCAAGTAAGAAAAAGATGCCATTTAAATGTCAACTTCAACACAAATGTGAAAATAAGTATCCATCCGTCACTCTTGCAGGGACAAGCTTCATTAAGGTAGAGTTCAGAATGATCTCAAATCATAAACATGATTTCACCTTCAGAATTCTCTCAATATCCTGAATTCTCTCTCTGAGGACAATACTTTTGCCCCTGGTAAAGGACAAATCAAGTAGAAGTGACAAAGTCAATGAATCCATGGAAAATCCTTGTCGACGCAACTCTTCAAAATAGATTTGTACATCATCGAATTCACCTATTTTAATTAGTCCTCGAATAATCACGTTGTATGTGATTCCATCTGCCGAGACACCATTTTCTTTCATTTTTTCAATAAAATATTTAGCCTCCTTTACAAAACCTCCTTTACAAAGGCCATTTATCATTGTGTTATAAGTTGCAACATCAGGATTCAGTCCTCTGAAGAAGATACTACGGAAAAAGCCTTTTGCAGTGTCGAGCTTTCCACATTTGCACAATCCGTCAAGAACGATATTATACATATACGTATGAAGCTTCACTTCATCAGCTTCCAACTTATGAAGAAATTTAAGGGCTTCATCAACAGAACCACTCTCGACAAGGCCGTACAACAATACACAGTAAGTGTGAAAATCAGGAGGTATAGAAACTGATTGCATCTCAATGAGAATATCCATGGCAGCAACATACCTTCCTGCCCTAAACAAGCCCTGCAATACAATGTTGTAGATGATAACATTTGGCATTACACCATTTCGTGGCATCTCTTGGAATAGATGCATGGCAAGATCAACTCTTGATATATTGAAATACCCATTAATCAATATACCGTAACTGACAACATCAGGAACAAGCCCACTACGAACCATGGTATCAAAATATTCTGTTGCAATATTCATTTGATCCTTCAAACAATATCCCTCCATGAGAGCGTTGTAGGTGAACGCGTTCGGAGAGATGCCCAAATCCACCATATCATCAAACAGGTTATCAGCATCAGCCAGCTTACCTACATTACACAAAGCCTTGATCAAACAAGTACAAGTAACAACATCCGGGACGACACCCTTCCCAATCATCTCACGCAAAAGAAGAACTGCTTCATCCACCCTGTTTCCCTTGCACAAACTATGAATGATAGTGCTATAAATTATGGCATTAGGCTCAATTCTTCCTTTTTCCATATCTCTGAGAAACTCAATGGCCATGCTAGGATTCCCCACCTCAGAGAGCCCATGTATCATGATCCCACACATGACAACACTGGGTTCACATAATTTTCCATGAATAATCTTCTTAAACATTTCTTGAGCCTGGGAAATCCTCTTTTCCTTAAAGAGGCCTTTAAGTAAAGTACTAAACGTGCACGCATTAGGCACAATACCACGCTTAAAAAACACTCCCAACACAGAGAATCCAAAATCAACCCTGTTCGACAGACAGTAACAATTAATCACAATATTCAGTATATAATGATTGACCTCGAAACCCAGAGCATTCATATCGTTGTAGAGTGAAATGGCAAGTGAATAATGCTTTAATTTAACCAAGCGGGCTAGGAATTGAGCGAAAGCAATCACAGAGGGAAAAGGGTTCATTTGGACCATCTGATTATACAAATTCAGGGCATCTTCCGGAGTTTTAATGTGATTGGCAAACCCAGACTTGAATCTTCCATCATTCAAATGCTCGGTTTTTGAAGAAGCAAGATTGTAGTTTGCTGGAGAAACAGAACTATGATATTCTAATGTGAGAAAATCCCGATTACAGTTAAATGAAACTAGAGACTTGCCTACAACTGAATCTGCAGAAGCTTTTGTCTTCGGCCGCGTCATCTCCACCATCGCCGCCGGCGTCCTCAGCTGCAGTTTCATTCTCTGAGAGAGAATAAAAAAATGTCTTGTCATTGAGGCATCCTCAAAAACGTGAAAGAGTATTTAAGTTAAATCGTTTCAGTGCCCTTGAAAGCGTCCTCCGACCCACTATTTTATTATTGTTGAGTTGAATTATTATTGTTAACTTTATAAAAAAAAAAAAACAGAAAAAAAATGATATATATTCAGTTAGAAGAATTTTCATTGGGCATAGGAGAGTTTTATCCAACAAGGATGATTAGTAGAGTGGTTAGTATAGGGTAATTCCAGAATTCGTGTTCACATTGTTTATTGCCTTTCATCGTTACTTGGATGATCAGAATAGTAATCGAAACGATAATAATAAATCGAGCGAATTTGAGAAACGTGATGATCATAATGACAAGGTCTAAATGTGAAGTCAAAGTTGGAGGAACGAATTGGCATTATTATAGCTTAAAGTGTCACTCTAAAATATGATAAGTGAACTATATCGAAACTACCAAGTTTGATCAAATTGATGTCATCTTGGCTCGAGTGGAGAAAGAAAAAAGTACACAAAACTACATGGCCTGAAAAAGCCAAATGGAGGAGCATAAGTGTCCCGAAAACCTGCTTCAGGGATGTGAAATTGGGTGTAACATTGATAAAATAGGAGCATGTCATCCAAGCATTGTCCGCAGCACAAAAACACTGCAGACTTTCCAACTTAAGCATCTCATCATTCACACCTCGAATCATTCTACTCAAATTTTGAAAGATATAGATTTGAGTGATCAACTCCATGGTAGGTGTTCATTGCTGTAATGAAGAGACATCCACGCATGAATGTAATTCTGATCTACGGTTCACATCTTAACACTACAGAGAGTAGGACACTACATTTAGTTTCACTGCCAAATGTATGGTACTCCCTTCGTCCCGAAATGGTTGTCCAGTTTGGGTTTTCATTTTTAGTGAAAACCCAATTGTACATTCAAACGGGACAATCATTTCGGGACAGAGGGAGAACCACAATTATCTATTGAATACTAATCTAAATCATAGTATAGAACATAATACAACGGGCTCAGTGACCTCATCTTCTGCCACTCTTTTAAGAAGTCCAATAATCAAAATACAAGAACTGAAAATTTTGTGCCAAGGCCTTTGTCAATGATGGAATCAAAAACTTGTTTTGAGGTCAAGAATGCTGCTTCACTACATATACAATTACATTCGAGCTACATTCGAGCTCTATGGAACTACACCTAGACAACCTATTTCTTATGAAGTTATCTACTGTAAATAGGAGCAAAACTTGATCATTGTCAGCACTGGCATCTACTAGTAACAAAAGGTTATAAAAGGATGCTTAAAACATTAACAGCTTGCCAGTTCAATTCACGAATGCAGCCTTTTTGGCCTTCAAATATACCAACTAAAACACGGTAGAGCTACAGAAAAGATTCAAGCCAAACCATTATGAAAGCTCAAACCCATAATAGAAAAGCACCAGATGTTAAAAAGAGAAACGATCTAAACAGTACCTCTCCAATTTGGATCTCATTTCCAGGCTCCCCATTTCTAAGATCTCAATATTACCATTGACATGCCATAGCTGGTCCTGCATCCAGCACAATCAGATAAGGGAGAAATAAAGCCAAAGCAGAAGGCAGAAGTAAATCAAGACAGGAAAATGACAGAGAATATCAACTTGCATCAATTGAGCACCCCGCCAAGAGTTTTCTCAGATTTTACTAGCGGCGAAAACTTCTCAAGCATGGGACTAGACGGCATGGAATCCCAGGCTTACGAATCAGCACATGGTAAACTGTGAACTAATGAATCAGAATTTTATTGAATCCAATTTCAACCAGTAAAAACGCAAAACCATCACTGCTTGGATTAATTTGCAAGCTGACCAACATAGATTCTCATAAAAGAAAATATCTAAACATGCCTGTTTCAAGGCAAGATCAATGATATATAAATGAAACTCAAATCTGAAAAGACAACTAAACAGTAACTTCTAGTTTTATCAATTTCTAATTTACTTGGTTCTGAAAATATTTTGCATCTACCACTGAAAAACTGTCTTGATGGTTTAGGACTTCCAGCAACCAGACCCAGTTATACGAGCACAGAGGTCATCACATATAACGTCCATAGTAGCCACCTGACAAGAGATATCCACCTGTATATTCAAATCGCAACCATTTAGCTGCATAATGCAATGTAGGTTTAATATCCTGGCTTGATCTAATCAACAATGATATATATGATTACCACCACCACTCAGATGCACGCATCAGAAATATCTTAAACTGCATAGATATGGGACTTAACAATGGACTTAATCCTTTCACTTCTGTGTATAACAAACTATCTGCAAACCAACAGAGTTGGCATAGGCAGGAATTGATACAAATGCAAGCTTCCACATCTTCCACCACTTTTGGCTAAGACTTCTTGCCATTCGGGTCAAGATTCTGAATAATCTTTGCGAGGACAATACTACTTTCCTTGTCTGAGGACAATCTGAGTAAAAGTGAGAATGTTGCTGAATCCACTGAAAATTTTCGGCGAACTGCCTCTTTGATATATGTTGCCACATTGTCAAATTCGCCTATCTTAAGAAGTCCTCGAATAATCGTGTTGAACGTTATTTCATCTGGCAAGAGACCATTCTCTTCCATCTGGCCAAAATAATATTTAGCCTCCTTTATCAAACCTCCACCACAAAGGCCATTTATCATTGCGGTATATGTTTTGACATTAGGACTCAGTCCTTTTGAGGAGAGACTATGAAAAACACATCTTGCATTATCAAGCCTCCCGCATTTGCACAACCCATCAATAACGATAGTATACATAGCTGTATGAAGTTCCACTCCTTCAGTTTCCAACTTGTGCAGAAATTCAAAGGCTTCGTCCACTGAACCACTCTGGCATAGACCGTGCAACATTACACAGTAGGTATGAAAATTAGGAGGTATACAAAGTGACTGCATCTCGATGAAAACATCTCTTGCAGTGACGAATTTTCCGGCTCGAAATAAACCCTGCAAGACAGTGGTGTATACAGAGACATTTGGGGTAAATCCTTTTCGGAAAAGCTCACGAAAGAGTTGCATTGCTTGATCAACTTGGGATCTCTTGAAATGCCCATTTATCAACATAGAGTAAGATAACATATCTGGAACAATCCCACTTTCGACCATGGTATCAAAAAATTTCCGTGCTTTGTTGATTCGACCCTGCAAACAACATCCCTCAATGAGGGAGCTGTAAGTGACCACATCAGGGTTCTGGCCATGTTGAGTCATCATAAGGAGGAAATGCTCAGCTTCTTTTACTTTCCCTTCCTTACACAATGCATCAATCAATATATTAAAAGTATATGTATTAGGAGCAATGCCCAAATCTACCATCCCTTTGAAGAGATTTTTAGCCTCAGCCCACTTACCTACATTACTCAAACCCTTAATCAAACAAGTACAAGTAACAACATTTGGGGCAATGCCCTTCCCAAGCATCTCACGAAAAAGAATAGTTGCTTCGTTCACACTATTATCCTTGCACAAACCATCAATTATGGAATTGTATGTAATGACATCCAGCTCAAGTCTTGCTCTTTCCATGTCTCTGAGAAATATAAGGGCCATGCTAGTATTTCCCGCCTTACAGAGCCCATCTATCACACTATTGCCAATGACAACGTTGGGAACACATAATTTCTCACGAACTATCTTCCGAAACAATTCTTGGGCCTGGTTAATCCGTGTTTCCTTAAAAAGCCCTTTGACTAAAGTACCAAAAGTGCACACATTAGGCACAATGCCACGCTTAAAAAACCCTCCCAATACAGAGAACCCAAAATCAACCTCATTCAGAAAACAGTAACAGTTAATCAGATTGTTGAGCATATGATCGTTTACCGGAAATCCCAAAGAGGTCATGTCGTGGAAGAGTGAAATGGCAAGGGAATAATACTTCAATTTAACCACGCGGTTGAGCAATTGACCGAAAGCAATCTCGCTGGGCGGAGGACTCATTCGGACCATCTGTTTGTACAAATCAAGGGCATCATCCGAAGTTTGAATGTCATTGAGGAGCCCGGATTTCAACCTTGCATACAGATTCACTCTGTCTAGAGCAGGATTACAGTATGGTGGGGCAGCAGTGCGATATTCAAATGCAAAAAGATGCGGCTTACAATTGAAGGAGAGTAAAGGGCTCACCAGAATCGACTCTGCAAAAGCTTTTCTTTGCGCCATCATCAGCTTCATCGTCATCATCTCTAAGCCCTCAAAAGTCGGTAGAGCTTTAGAGGGAGAAGAAAGAATATCAGACGTTTCCGTTCATCTGACCTGAAAAGTGAAATGCTTCAATTAACGGTAACGTACCCCCGCTTAAAGTCACGTGTATGCAAGTTATTATTCTGGGTTGGTTCAAACAATTGAAACTTACTCGGCAAACATTTAAAACATTTAAGGTACGTTTGTTTCATTTTTTTTTTTTTTGTGTTTTTAGGTGTTTTTTGTATTAAAAATGTAAAAAGGTGTATTGGAAATGTAAAAAACTATGCTGGGATGGGACAATTATTAACATTTTAATTTAAAAATACCATAAAAAATGAAACAAACAAAGCCTTAGATATTACTAATTAGTAGTTAAACATTTCGGCTTCAGACACATCACTTCAAGAAGAAGTAACATAATGGGTGTTATCGTAAAATTACATGTTTAATCATCTTGAACAGATAAACATTTCCTGAAAATGTTTTTTTTCAGTTTATCATACTTTAATTTTTTTTTATTTTTTATTTTTTTTGTAAATAACAACTGTTTTGTCAATTTAGACAAACAATCATTTCTTGAAAATATTTTCACTCTTGTTTAAGGTTTTCTTCTTCTTTTTTTTTTAACAGCAATTTGAAGTCATGTAACAAGTAACAAAACAAAAGAATCATGTCATGCTCAAGGATCAAATCGATGAAAAGATTCTCATGACAAGACCAAAACGACAGCAAATAACATTTTCAGTCAAGGATCAAAATAGTGTTTTCACAACAAGGTTTTGATCTTTTAGCTTTAAGGCAGTGCAAATCACTTATGCAGTATTTTGTGTTCATATTAAGGTGAGTCCTAAACACATATACACTTGACATTTATGAACACATTAAGTCAACATCCTGCATTGATATTAAATAATATAAACATAACTAATAGGTACGATCACAACAAGCAACCGGTGCATAACTTGTATTAACTTAATTTCCAAGCCAAGGCAATTTGTTTATGACAAAAGAGTTGAGAAAAGTTTCGGCATACAAACACTGCATCCAAAGGTGATTTGTTTAACAAAAGAGAAACAAGTTTCGGCATGTAAACACTGCACACAACTATTTTAACAATTCCTTATTCTTTTAGATATCTTTAAAAGGCCAAATGCCAAGATAATAAATTAACAAGCTGGGTTTTCATTACGAAAATAATTCAAAACCATTTTTCAATGGCCTCCTTCCATTCTTTGCTGTGACAAGTCAATGTACTTTTTTTTATATAGAAAATCTCTTTAGCTGGGCACTATCCTTTCCAACACGATACATACAGTCTTTAACAGAAAGTGCACCGCTTCAACTCTTAGGTTGATCATTCCCAAGAGGAGCAATGGTAGTCTCTGCATAAAGTTGTACAATGCTTTGAAAAAGAAAAGATATGCACAATACAGTACAAAATTCTCACTTTAAATATTTTGGTTTGGCAATCCTTTAAAGCATCAGACTAGAGGTAGCTGTAATGATGACTTGATTCAAGGTCTACCATGGCAAAAGACAAGGAAAATGTTCTTTTTCACTAAGGACAACTAAAGAGCTGAAAATATGGGTATCCTTAATTCATGGGTTAAACTAATATAAAAGATATGATTCAAATCCCAAACACAACTCTCAACAGAGAATTCTCTCCTTTTCTTTTTAATTATTATAAGTTTTATCGAAGGAACTTTTTCTTTTAAATAATCTAAAATGTCGTGCTTCTAAAGTGGTACTCTTAAGAAAATTATCAAAAGCTTAATCACACAATAAATTCTCTCAAGGTGAAGTGCATGCAGAAAGAAAAGGTACCTCTGAAACCATATTTATAAGATTGGAGAAATGGATTTCAAAAGAAAATTCAGAACTTAATTTATTTGCAACTTTTACTCATTTTACATAATAGATGAATTTCCTGCTTGCAAAACATCCATAGAGCACCTCCAGATTTCTTAAAATGGTCATGCACACCTATGTACATCATGCAACTAAAGAATACGAGATTCAACATCAAAACATGCTTTCCTAAATTTTTTTTAAAGTAATTGTCAAGCTGTAGGTTATATATTCATCATTAGATAACATTTTTTTTTTTTAACTTATCAGGCCACAACACTCGAAGTCAGGTTCATCAAATCGCAACAATACTATACCATGTCATAGCAGTTTCCTTCGAGAAATACATTCATGTTGCATATTTTACTTGCAATGATCTCAAGCATAACTTTTGCAGAATAGGACTCCTATTTAAACATGGAATTGTCAAGAGTTTAAACTGGTGGAAAGTTATTATGTTTTTTTTCTTTTAAGCAAATATGAAAGAAAAGTCAAATCCATAAAACAGAATGGCACATAAAATCGATTTCATTTGTGATCATTTAAAGTAAGTGAATCTGTAGTTCCAGAATATAACCTCAGATCTTCTAGCCAAACATGTTAGCTATTTGCCACACCACATAGCTTAAAGCAAGTTGAATCCGATTGTACTCAACATTACAACCAACACAGGCAAACACACAAATGTCTAAATCACCTATAGACATATGCAAGTATTATGCTTAAATTTCATACATTTTGTTGCCCGACACTCGAGGAAAACGATTAGATTATGAGGGTCGAGCCTCAGAATACAACAACTAAGCATACCAAAAACAACGATACATAAAGTGAGGTTTGATCACAGGTTCTATGCAAAATGTTTACAAATAACGGTTCTCTTTGAAATGCTGACAATGACTTATACTCTATATATCTTATAATTCCTCACCTTATAGATTTTGTTTTCTAACTTTCTATTATTTCCTATTTATCAGGAAATTAAATATCTTACTCCCCCAGGTAACTTAGCGAGTTTAAGCTTAACTTTTAGGCTGGCTATTTTGTACTACATTTTCTAAATTAATTAAAGTTGAAAACATATGTGCGTCTTCTTTCAAATCGATAAAGAGAATTAGCCTGAACTCAATTTGGGATGGCCGGTCCCAAGAAGATTTCAAGGTAATTCTACAGTCGATTCTCGCACTTTTAACTTTTATAACACATCTTCCAGTTTTATAATCTGATGCATTTTAGCAAATCACATCTAAATGTAACACTTAACTTTATTTTACAAGTTCCTCATCCCTTCCAACATTCTTATATCTCAAGTACCTACCCTTAGGTAAGGTTCTAGAGATTCAGTAGAGAATCTAGTCAAAGTTATCCCTAAACAAAAAGAAAAACATAATTCGTTACTAACCTTTAACTCTGTGATATATATTTCAGGTTCCATCAAATTAACTTGTCATAACTGATTTTGTTATATCCCTTAACAGGATGCCCTAGGTTCATATTCCTAGGCTCTGATACCACTTGTGACGACCCATGTGTCCAGCTCGACAAAATATCGTGCTTGATGACAAATTGAGCCGCCCGCCGGACGATCTCTTGCCCAAGGCTTTGTGGAACAACACTAATTAGTCTATTAAATGTTCAAACTTCTGAATTTTCATAGCAGAAGCCTTATTTACAACAATGATGTTTCTAAACTTTAATACAAATTCGGAAATTCAAATAAGCTCTAGACTAAAGAAAAGCCAAATACTTCTCTTCGCAATCAATTCATTTTATTCTTTTCCTTAACTTAGCTAGCCTGCTAACCTGTGAGGAAAAATAATGGGATGAGCTTTAAAGCCCAGTGAATACCTCAAACAACAACTCCCGGTCCCTCACACTCCATACGGTAATCAAGTCACATGCACAGGCAATTACTCACAGAGTTCATTTTAGTCATTATTTCTTCATAGATTAACTAAACAGTTCTATCATTTTAATCTATTCAAAGAATAAAATAAATGATCTTCAAGGTGAGCAACAACATTTGAAAAAGAACAATCAGTCACAGAGTGACATATAAAGGATGACCATAACCGTGGCCATCACCATATTGACAAGAAGATACAAGTCGAGAGGATACAGGTGGATCTTAACTGGAGACTGCCGAAGACCTATGTGGTCTTTTGGGTTGTCTTCCAAGTTAGATTCCCAATTGGTGTTCAAGTTACATTTCAAATCCAATAACAATAACCCGTCACTCCAAGTGGCCACAACAGTCAAGTACTCGTAGCTCATGCACGCCTACTAAAACTATCCATAGTCTATCCATACGTCT